CTATAAATAGTCATATGGGAATTTCCACAGTTCAAGCACACTTACTGTAACCTCCTTGTACAGTAGAAAATGATATGCAGTGCACAGATGTCATTATCTACTGCATTAAAGTGAATTAAAGCTTTCAAGGTATTTTATGTTTTTTTTTTTTTATTGAATATACACTTTGCTTGATGACTTGGAGGATAATATCACATGATGATGATTTTATTACATGCTACCAGGCCCAAAAGGGTTTAAAACTTCTGTAGTGTAGCCTACCCTTGTTGTGTCTATTGTCTAAGAGCCATTAGGTATTGATATTGTAACACTAACAGCGTTACAGGTAAAGGGCTCAATTTGTTTCTTGAGTTTTATATCAGTATCTGAAAAATTCTGGTTAGAACGCCTAGCAAAAAAATGATACGTTAAATTCCTGATGGAAAACTGATTTTTCTAGAAATTAGGCAATAAGTAGGCCTATTTATGGGTTATGGGTCTTTTAATGTTTCTGTAGCATTGTTCTACATTTCTATCTAATTATTAATTAGAGTAATATTTGTCATTACTATGGAGTAAAACCTCTGTAAAACCTCACAAATAAATTAGGTATGTTTAAGCCTATGAAGGAACTGAGGGTTCTTCAACCAGTTAGTCTAATTTAGAAACATGTAAATAAAATTTAACATTCACTCTGATAATTTCAGAAAATACCCACATTAATCACACAGGTAGCAACAGGTACATCTCCATTTCTACCAGTCAACACACAATTGATTCAGAGGTAAGAACTTGATATGATTGTATCTTTAAATTAAGACACTCCATGATGCAAATATTAAATTGACTAAACATTGACAACAGAGATAAACTAATATAATAATATTATTTATATTTATATAGCACATACTGCAGATTGCCCCTCTCTTTATACAGAAATTATATAGAATCAACCAAGAAAAGAAAAACAGTAAAACAATAGTAATAACAATAATAATAATAATAATAATAATAACAATAGCAAATAAAATAAGAAATGATACTTATATTCAAGTTAAAACCCCAAAATGGAGTTGTACATAAACTATAGAGTGTGCATGCAAGCAATATTGCTGAACCGACATTGACATCACTTTGTCATAGAATATTCAGTCATTTACAACCATACTGTAGCTTGCCTAGTTTGCAATTAGTAACATAATCTCTACATAACCCTTATCTGTTACACTTGTACCAATTTGGAGATCTGTAGATCAACAATATGAAAGGAGGTTTGGAGGAGCGGTTTACATTCTGATTATTGCACTTGTGCTCAGAAGTTAAACCACACAATGAATTCTCGGCCGACATGCCTACTCCGGCATGCATTGTTGACGGGCTGTGATGGTTCATGCTATGTTTCAATCTTAGATGTTAGAAGCATTTCATGGCATATAATGGATTGGATTCCATGCCATTTTTAGGGTGAATTAAATAACATAAAAAGATTATGAATGCTGTATAGTATATGAATAGCTATAAATGGTACGGTTGTAATATTGTACATCATATTTGTATCATTAACACATAATATGAATTAAATGAAAATTAAGTTTTTAATTACTTGTGTATTACCTGTCATTGTAAATCCAAAATCGTCATTTATATTAAGCGCCTTTCTTTACACATACAAAGTGCTACTCCAGCCCTACTCTTGGTAAAATATCACTCTTGCTCACTGGATGAAAACAAAGTAGATACAAGTATGTTATAAAACCATGAAAATGCGATATGAATCGAAATCTAAACAGTTGTATCACTATGACACAAACATGTTAAAATTTTATTTACAAAGTAATTTATTGGTAATTATTAAAAACATGGAACAATTTATTATCATCATCATCACAGTAATCCACAGTATAGACTTGTTGTTAGTATGTCGAAGGACCTAATGATTGTGTAATAATCCTTTACAAATAAAGATGTTTTAAATGTTAGTGTTATACTTGATTAACACACGAAAAACAAATTGTTAGGCAGGGATGCATGTTAAATGATAACAAACCTCCCAAAATATAAATGTTGTATGCATTTTTTTGCCACCATAATACAATATATTGTCTGATTTTAGAACTATCACAAAATCAATACATTTTGAGTGCATGGCTTTGGACTTGGTACCTATACTGACACAATTCAATCAAAATTTCAGAAATCTCCCACATTAAACTGATCACAGTTAGCAACAGGTACACTTCCATTTCTAACATTTGACAAACAACTGATTCAAGGTAAGAACTTGATACTGATATTGTTTTCAAATTAAAAACACTCAATTATACAAACATTAAATTGAGTAAAACATTGACAACAGAGATAAACAAGAAACATTTCCTATTAAAAAAAAAACACTGCAACTTCTGTAGCTTATTCAATTCATGTACAAAGCTACTTCCAAATTTATCATATGTGTAAATTTTGTTATCGTATTTAAGTTAGCTGTTTCAATAGTTCAATAGTTTGGGCCGAATTGGTTTGGGCCAAATTGGTTTAGGCCGATTTGTTTTTGGACTGAAGTTATCAGCATTCAACAGGTCAAAATTACTAAATCCCTGGGATTATTTGAACATCATCTGTTTAAATTGACATTTTTTCATAAACATAATACAGTATTGCATTTTTGTATAAACAACATTTTTTATCAGTATTCACCTAATAAAATTTAGCATATTGTAACAATATACACTTATTAAGTACACTACAATATATTTTTTTATAGATGTATGCTGTCAAAGCACTACAATTCTTAGACAAAAAGGATCTTAAATGTGCCATCTGCCTAGAGAGAATGACAGAGCCAAAGACACTCAAGTGCCTCCATAGTTACTGTTGTCACTGTTTAGAAACTTTAATGCAAACACAGGGCAAGTTGAGGTGTCCCAAATGTGGTAATCATTATGAACTAACAAAAGACGATTTGAAAAACTCACTTCTAATGAAATGATAAATCATCTACTTGAATATGTAAAAAAGACTGAATCTGAAAAACCAACTGCATGCTCAAACTGTGATAATCAACCAAAATACAATTGCCCTGAATGTTTACTATACTTATGTGCAGGCTGCATTAAACAACACAAGTTAATACCTGCATTGAAGGACCATCCGTTGTACATATTAGATGAGAATGAAGAAGGAACCAAAGACGAACCCAACAAATGTCCAACCCACTACAAGAAAGAGCTAGAATTTTACTGCTCAACTTGCAAGAAATCAGCATGTGAGGATTGCAAGTATGTACTTCGTTGCTATCAAAATAAACATAATGTGATACCAATGATAACTGCTATTGATGATTTTAATCACAATGCTAATGAAGTTATTAATACAGCTCAAGGCATTAAAAACAAATTGCAAGGAACACTTGATTCAATTACTAATGATAGATCTGACTTTGAATATCACCTAAAGTTATGCAGAACAGCTATTGAAGTGAGGGAGAAGACACTTATCAAGAAAGTTCAAGAGAAAAGCAAACAATTAATTTCAGACCTTGAAAAATTATACATAGAAAAGAAAGAAGATGTTGATAGTCAAGTTAAGAATATTGATACAAAGCTGTCTAAAGTTAATAATGTGATGGCCATAATCAATACAATGATGAACAAACCACAAGAAACTGAAACTCTTGAATCCCATAAGACAACTATCAACACTGTCAGAGATGAGATTTTAGGAACTGATTTTGAAAAATCATTTCATAAAAAAAATATTACACCAACTTTCATTCCATCTACACACTTGGATGAGGTAATGAATACTGAATGCATTGGTAAAATCACAACTGTTGATGGAATGTACAAGGTTGATCAACATGATGAAGCAATTACCGTCACAAAAGGACAAACATTTGTAGTAACCGTATCAAGCTTAAGTGAGAGCGATGCATGTAAATTATCTGCAACTCTAAGCAACCCATCATATGAAAAATCAGCCACTGAAGTAGAATATCAAGGAAATGGAGAGTATAAAATAACAGGTAAATGCAATGTGGAAGGTGATTGGCAAATGAAGATTATAGTAGGAGAGGTGCACATCAAAGGATCTCCAGTGAATATCAAAGTGGAATCACTGGGACTTGTACATACCATTGGTAACATATCAGATTATAAAGAACATTACAAAACCTGTAAAGTGGCAGATGTAGTGTTAGACACAGATGGATGCATATTAGTATCAAGCTACAGTAAAGATATATTAAAGTTCAATCAATCAGGTTCATTTGTTGCTAGGATACAGGTGCCACAAGATGTGAAGGTCCATAGAATGCATCTAATGTGTGATGGTCATATGGTGTACACTGATATCGTAGGAGAATTTGTTGTAATGTGTGATGATAAATTTAAAGAAATCATCTCATTCGGTAAAGGAATATTGAAATATCCAGAGGGATTGACAGTAAACAAAAAAACTGGAGTCCTGTATGTAGAAGATGGGGAGGCTCACTGTGTGTTTAAATTCAATGTTGATGATGGTAGACTACTAGGTAAGATAGGTTCAGAGGGTAGTGAAGTAGGTCAGATGAATACACCAGTTGATGTTACTTTAACCAAGGAAAGTCATATGATCATTGCTGATTTCAACAATGATAGAATACAAATGTTTGATGCAAATGATAAGTTTATGCGAATCCTTGTAGGCTGTGGTGAGGAAGATGGTAAAGTTTTGGGTCCTTGTGGTGTAACCATGGATATGGATGAAAATATAATAGTGTCAAGTAATCATAAACTACAATTATTTGATAAAAATGGTGTCTTTATTAAACGAATAGATCATGAAGATGATGGATTAGATATCCCATATGGGATCACTGTGATCTCCAATAGACCAAGAAGAGTAGCAGTAGCAAACCACAAAGCAAACAATGTTAAAATTTTTAACTATTAAATGACATTGAAATATTAAGCCATCTATATTATAACTAAAATACACGGTACAATTTGATTTAAATTCTCATAAAAATAAAGTCACAGTAAATATTGTACTGTTACTTGTTATTCCAGGACAATATTCATTTATGCCTGTTTAAAGTAATATACAAGCAGCAGAGTAGTTCTGCAAATGCTCAGTTTTGACATTAATTATACTATGTTATTCTACGTTACTCATTAGACAATGTTGTCAGAGTGTTGCATCATGTATGTGCGAGTTACACAAAATAGTAATAAAATGTCTATATCAAAATGACTGTTGAAACTTTTGTATTTTCTTTAATAATAATAATAATAATAATAATAATAATAATAATAATAATAATAATTATAATAATATAGCAATAATAATAACTTTGGCTTGTATACTGTAGCGCATTATGCTAAAAGCCTCAATGCGCTTATTAACAATAAAAATGAAAATGCCAGCAGAAAAAATTTAAGAAAATACACATTAAAAGGGTGAGTTTTTAAAGCTGCCTATTATTATTATAATAATACTGTAAAGGTATTGCCTATTACTGTGTATAAGTGAAATGGTATCCAAACGCATTGGGCAGTTCCTTGAAAATGGATATTTGTGCTATATGAATGGTATACAAGTGATGGCATTATGAAACATGGCATTTTCACTCTTGTTCAATGAATTTGCAAATATACCTTGTTGTGGTGTAATTTTGTGCACAAAGACTAATTCATTAATAATGCCACAACATCCTTCCAGGTACCCATTTATGATATTGGGTGGGGAGGGAGCCTTGTCCAAAGACACAAGTGATACAGTATGCACAGTCAACTTTCATACACTTGACCTTATGAAAGCCCACCAACAACATATCTTTGTCATCATTAACAATAAGGCCATGTTAAAAAAAAAATGGTTAGCATCCTTATCCAGCAAAAAAAAAAAAAAGAAGAAAAAGAAAATAGCAACAGAGACCAAAACTGCATACAAGTAATTATATAATTCATCAATAGCAAGCAGAAACTTTACAATGAATAAACAGGGAGATGTTATTCTTTTACATCTCCCTAAAATAACAGTCATAATGCAATTATCTCAGATTATATAATCACACACAATTCACTCCAACACAACTGGCATCATGAATGCCATGTGTCTACAGCATAGAACTGCAAGTGGTCTGGCTAGCGTGCGGACAGGTGGTAAACAAACCTGATTGAGTTTGTGAGTGTTTTGTCAAAAAAAAAAAAAAAAATCTGGTCGGTGGCCTCTCTGATGGTAGGGAGGGGATGCTAACCAATTATTTTATTTTACATGGCCTAATAAACAATAGATATAATTTTGTTATTATATTAATGACATTGGAGGTTGCATGCATCCAAGTAACAACTTTGGATGATAAGTGCTTACTGTAAAGTGCTGTGATGGAAGCATTATAAGAATCACTTTGTTTGATTCCCACCTGAATCACTTGCAAGATTTTCTCACAAACTTTTGCAAACTTGGGCTTTCTGAGCATTCAGTATCGTAACACGTTGACCAACAACTAAGGCAAACATTGATTCGTATTACTTCTCCCGACGCAAAACGCCATTCGAATAGCATACAGCAGTGTACCCACTGTTACTTGGTGATGGGATTTATCACTAGCAACCAAGCGCAAGTTCGGTGGTCGAGTGGTAAGAGTAGACAGCAGACTAGTTACCTGAAGATCAAATTGGATTAAATTTTTTTCGCAAGCATTTGGGAACGTACTAGGCTTTCAGTACTATAACATACGTGAGGTAGGGCACACATCGATTCGTAACTACTTCAACACTTGCATGCTTGGGAGGATTTATGGCAGCCCATCATAGATCCATCAGTGTTGTGATTATGTAGTGTTGACAATTTACAGAATACAGAACTTTTATTGGTCTTGTGAACGTAAAAGTACAGAACAAGAAATTAGCATGTTTCTCAGCATTTGCAATGATTTCCCCCATGACATCAATAATTTGCTTAAAATACAAAAATTATAAAACTTATATATTTTATTAATTTATTTCTAATAAAAGTATGTCATATCTGAATTTTATCCATGATAGGCCTAGCTAGTATCCATATTTTTCGCACAACACAAAAGACAACCAACAACAACCTATGAGTATGTTCCTTTGTAGTTTGCCTTTATACATCATGAATGTTTTGCTAGTATTTAGAGTGTGCCCTCAGGAGTGATGCTCTGTAATGAAAACATAGAAAGGGATTTGTAGACACAAGTGCATCACATGGAAATTCCCTACTTCTGGCAAACATCCCCTCAGATTCTGGAATAAAAAAAATTACATTACTAATACTAGGCCTATCTATAGGGCTAGGCTGGCTAGCTAGCTGATTGCTCGAAATATTGCCCCGCTGGTTTTTAATGTGCCTAGCTAGTTTCCCAACCTAATATAGACCTAGATGGACATGTCTTAGCTAACTAGACCTAAGCTGGAACCTAGGCCTACTGTAGGCATAAGCCCTACCAAGCCTTTGAAGTAGGGGAGGGCCAAGCCCGGTGACCCTGCTGCTACTGGCTGGGCCTTCTTCTTGCTTGTTGGCTAGTCTGAAAGTTTAAAATGGTTTTATTTTTAAACTTACAAGTTCATTTTTGGTTGAATTACGATTGCTGTCGCTCCTAAGGCTAATGCCGCTTCCGCTACTTGTCATCATGAATGTAACATTTAATACGGTTTTTTTTTTTACAGATGTATAAGGCATGGAGTTTAAAATAATTATAACTCCATGTATAAGGTTACCACGACTAAGCACACAGTCGCTAGGCCTAGCGCATGTAGATAAACAAACAAAATGCACAGGGCGCTGACATTTTGTTGGAATCTGCCATTTTAATGAAGGTTACTTTTTATATTTAAATTATTAGTTATACTCTTTAATCAATATTTTTTACCATATTCTTTTAATTTTACATAATAAATATTATATATTTAATTTCTTATTCTATATTTTCTAGCTGAAATATAAAATAAATATAAATATAAATAAATATTATATTTTCTTCACAGTTGAATTCCCTATTTGGTTATGGCTCTTAGGTCAGAGTTCAATTGATTGTTTACGTTCAAGAAGGAGAGCATGGTAAATTTGATGCTGCTTTTATTTAAAATGTTGATGTTGCATTGCAGAACAAACAACATTTTATTTTAGTTTATCATATTATTATAAATAGGCTGGCCTAGCTAGGACTCGAATCGAACGAGGAGAAAGCCTACTGTACTGTAGGCCCAGCCAGCCAGGACCAGACTGTTATACCGACCATCGGGCCCATTTTCAGACGATCGGGCGCAACTAGTGTGGGCCCTCTTACTTCTTAGGGTCAAGCGGGTCCACCTAGGCTAATGTGGATTTTCGGCCCCCAATATTATTCTGAATAATTATTGCATTCAAAATTTATTAACTTGTGTAGGCCTAGGCCCTAGTCTAGGTATTTTAATAAATATGTTAAATATGTATTCTTAATTTAATAAAAGAATTGTAATTATAAGTAAATTAAAATGATTATATTATTGAATTTATTTATTTATTTCGGTAACTAACGCCAACAAATACAAACGACAGCAATGGCATGGACTTTGCCTTATAGAGGATTGTGCCCATTTCCAGACATATTGGACCTTATATTTCTGAAAATGAGCCCCTTTGTCTTGACAGACGTGTGTTGGCTTGCTTTGGGCCTATTTTTATGTTTTATGCTCTGAATGCCCAATGAGCTCTGTCCGGCGGGGGCTTGACCTGTCTGGTGAGGGGGACTTAAGCCACTGCATAGGAGTGATGTTTTGCCCTACATGATTCCTACCTGAATCACTTAAAAATTTTTTCACAAGTATTTGGGGACGTACTAAGTATGCAGTACGATAACATGTCAGGTAGGGCAAAATATCACTCCTGATGCAAACTCACATCAATATATGGCTATGCCTATCATGACCAGACTGTCATACCCTTGTTGGGGGACTACTTTGTCTACATGCCTTCCCTTAGCTTAGAGAATTAATAATAATAATAATATGTCGTTCTTATATAACGCTTAATGCCTTAACAAAGCCTCTAAGCGCTTCACATTATTACCCCGGTCATTGGATCAAACACATATGGATCACATTGAACACTAAACGAAATTATTAAATTAAATTATATCTCCATAATATTGCGGCTAGTAATCAGCGCAGTGTTGGAACCTACCAGGTACCCACTTGTACTTCTGGGTGGAGAGAGGCAACCATAGATAAAGTGCCTTGCCCAAGGACACAAGCGACTTGCACAGCGAGAGTTTCGAACCCCCGACCTCAAGGTTGGGAGTCCAAGCCACAACCGAAGCGCCAACCACTTCTATATACCGCTTGAAAAGTTGCCTAATCTACTTTGATTATCTTCAGACTTGGAAAGTTTTTTTTTATATAATAAGGCAGTGTTATTTATGTGTGAATTGGATTTTGGCAATAACATCTTATCAGAATAAAGAATTGGTTTATTAAAGACTGGTGTAACCGTCCAATAAATAAATAAATGAAATAGAAACGGTAGATTAGTCTGGTAAAAAATTGATACGGCAAGACATCCTTGGTTACTCTGAGAGTACAATATTGAATACCATTAGACCTGCCAAAGCTATTGTTTGGCTTATATAAGCATTTCAAAATAACCCATTTCTTTTTCGCCACTGTCAACAGAAATGGCAGGAAAGGTTAAACCTATCGACAGACAATCTGTGCATCAGATATGTTCTGGTCAAGTTGTCCTCAATCTAGCTACAGCGGTCAAGGAACTTGTAGAAAATAGCTTGGATGCTGGAGCCACCAGTATCGGTAGGTCAAATAAGAAAAGCTTTGATTTCAATTATCCAATTCTTTCTGTATGAAATGAAATATGAGGAACTTTATTGCAATCTCTCATTATAAAACATTATAAATCAAAATTGAAGTTTAAAAAAAGTAGGGAAAAACATTTAAAAAACATCACATACAATATACTTAAAAATATAAAAAGAAGAGAGAACTAGATTTGAACTCGTCACTGAGGACGAGTTAGGTGATCCGCCGTACTTTGACCCTCACGAAGCACGCGCGGTTCTGATTGAAAAGTATTATATGCTAAAACATGCTCTATTTAAAGAGTAATTTTGAGAGTTTTACTAAAATTTTAAAGGAAAAGAGTAATTTTGAGCATTTTAAGGA